CTTGTAGAGAACAAACAGTTGTTTAGCTTAATATGGCTAACTGACCGAGCTAAAAAAGGCTAACCTGTTAGCTACAGAACAAAGCTAGCCACAGCCCTACCCAGCTCTCTCCCTTTATATCATGGTGTTGCAGTTACTTTGTTCACCATAAACAGTTTCTATTCCGTTTTGTTATTGATCAGGCAGAACTTCAGTCATTAGACACACTAACAGGCTGGTTATACTCCTGCAGCAGTGTGTCGCAGTTAGCTTTTCGCAGGTATGATGCATACATTTTTGAGTTATGCCTGATATTAAAGCGTGGTCTGCGCTTTGTTATTCCATGCCACAACGCAAAAGGGACAATCAGGTACTGGGTCTGGATAAGGTCAAGGTGGTGAAGAAGTGGGATAAATTTTTTGCGATAACGGAGGGACATGAGGGCGAAAAAGAGCGGGGATCCAGGTAAAACAAAAGGTCCCAGCATTCTCGCGCATCTCGCTCTTCTAGCTCAGTCGTTTTTTTTCACAATGGTGGTCATACAAACAAAACAAGCCTGTAAGGGACCAAAAAGGAAATATGCATAGTGTTGAGCGGATGTAGATTTGACCAATCAGAGGCCTCCTGTACCAGCAGAGTGCCTGCAGAAGGGCCGGGGCGTCTCTGTTTTCACCGCGAAACACACGCAGACGACCTGGTTTCGAAGTATAAATCAGCCTTAACGCTACAGTTGCTCCCGACTCGGCACACTGACGCTGCGTGATGTTATTATCGTTGTCTGGGCAACCACAATGTTTTACATCATGTGGCAAAATTCTGCCAATCATGGAATGGAGAGGTGAAGGGTTACCAGGGCTGCTCTATTTTGTGTGGCCGATAGAGCTCTGCTCTCCTCTGAGGAGAGATTGACATGAGCAAAAAACAAAAACAGCAGAAAAGTAAATACAAACATTTCTCCTATGCCTTCGGCTGTCTGTGAGACAGAATCCCCCCCCACCTCTAGCAAAAAAGTGTAACAAAAGCCTCTTCCCCACTGAAAATTTGTGGGTTAACTTGAGTTTTTCAAAAACTGCCCAACTTGCTATCAATCTGCATTCGACTCCCTTCAAATTGGGAAGAAATGCCGGGTCTAAGCCCCGCGCTGGCAGGCTACGTAGCCTCTGTCCCCCCGCCACTGTGTGTCTGGTGACATTATCACGCTGGTTTAGCGTTGGTGATGTCACCAGTGTGACAAAAATTAGGAAAGTAGGGCTGGCCAAAAAATTAAACCTCGATTTTCTTTTACTCATCTTGGACGATTACGTTTTTAAATCAATTTTTGTCGATCAATTGGAGTATTAAAAACTACAGGCATGTATTTTTAAAATAGATTTAATCAAAAATATATTGTGCAAAGTAATAAATATTTAACCAACAACAAACGTATGGTAAAAAAAAAAAAAGGTAAACATAAATAATCTTAGGATAAATCTTGTGCAAGTAACAGAAATGTTCAGCTAACAATAATTGTGCCCATTTTCTATCAGTAAAAAATTTACTTATATATCTATAGTACAAGTAAAAGAAAAAAGAAATATGCAATTAATTGAACAGTCAATAACGTGTAATGATTTTCTGGGAAGTAGATGGTTTGTAAGCAGCAGCTGTTGAGAGGCCAGTTCACGTCGATATAATGCAGTTAAACTCGTGTGCGGCTGAAGAAATCGACTGGACCAAAGGACTGTAGCAGTTGCAAATAACAAAGCAGAGTCCAACTTTTCACAGAGCTCTTTAGTGTTTTGTTCTATATTTTGTTAGTGCAACCTCTGCAAAGTATTCGCAACTTTGAGGGTCATAAATTGGATCACATACTTTTAGCATGAGAAGGAAGCCAGGCTTCTCTACTATGTAAATGGGACCATGTCCATCCCTATATGGGCAGCTACAGTAACGGTCATCTGCTTCCACTGCACACTACAGTTGTCGGTCAGCACCACTTTAGGAAATGAGGCAGGTTTGTGGTCTACGGGAGAGGATTAGGGCCACTGAAAAAAATAAAAGAAGTTAACTGAGATTAAAGTCAGAAGTCAGCCTTTTTTTCTCCGAATGTTGACTTTAATCTCAGAGTTCTGGATCTTAATGTAGATGGGCACCCTGAAGGAAGAAATGTGTGAGCACTCAGCTTCACTGAGGAGGCGCCCCCGATGATGCTATTTCATTAATGGAAGACCAGAGATGATTAAAAAGAGAGATAGGCCGTTTCTCAATATGCGTTCTGGTGTGCTCGTGACACGTCATCAGCATCAGCCCGAGCACTGTTCCAATTGCCGAGAACGCCAGACTGTGAATGCACCAAATCCCTGGATGTTGTTCTCGCCCCGCCCTTTTTATCGAGTATGCATCAGAGCAGACTTATCCGTTCTTGAGATTGACAGCTGTCCCAGCATGCACTGCAGCAGCAGCTTTCAATTGAGCACTTTTCTTTTGTTGTTTAATAAAAGTACGTTTTAAGATCATTTGAGGCAAGAATATTATACTTTAATGCGTCACTATATGGTCCATTTACCAATTTAATGCGTAATTATAAAAGATATTTCCAAAGTTGAGAGCACCGCGGCAACCAGCGGAGCACCAAAGCTAACGGCAGCCAGGGTTAACCGCAGCCCGTCTGCAGCAGCCCTGTCTCGGCATAGCCCTGTGTGAAGGACCGCTGGCTCTGATGCCGATTATTTTTGTTTTATTTGGCAAAATTATCACTTGATTTGTGTTTATTCGACTGTGTTAATTATTATTCCCCCACTAAATGAAAAAAGTAATAATTTATTATTTTCTAGAGGCTTTTAATAACAGGAGGTGAAATGCAGACGAGCTGAGCGTTTGGTGACGTCACAAGTACGCTTCTGTTCCAATTGGCCCAGATTTATTCTGCATGCTCCCGTTCTCAGAAAGTCCAGACTTTACTGTGTTCTTCTCAAGAACATACTTGGTGAGAACAGGAGTCCTTACTCCCGTTCTAGTGAATGGAGAAACTGCCCTAGTCTCTAAAACGGACATGGCTACGGCTTGATGCTAACATGTTTGTTAGCTGTTGGAATTCAGTCAGAATTCTGACTTATTTTCCATATCAAACTGAAATAATATTTACAAATTAGTTAGCTCTAATCCTCCTCTGTAGGTCTTTTCTTGTTGTGGTCATGTTTGTCTTCACCCATGCTACCGACGCTGCACTCCCAAAGCTCCCATTCTGTGGGGTGCCTTTGCCGGAGATGTTGAAACAAGTTAGTTGCACACTACTGTAGTTTGCTCCACATCGGCCTTGTCAAAGCCGACCCACTTCCAAATAATCAACGAAACAATGAGTCCCTTTTCTCAGTACCAACTCTTCAGATTGGGCGGCGGCTATGGCGTGAGTAAACAGTGCAGCATGCTATCGGGTGGAACGAGGGAAGAGGCGGCGGAAGCAAACGCGCAAGTAAATTATGCAGATACTTTCTAGATTTTACGATTTAGCAAAAAACCAAATGGTGAACTTTAAAAACAAGAATTAATCGAAATTAATTTCATTTATCGCCCAACCCAACAGGAAAGTAAACAATGTAGAGTAGCAATTAAGAAAGCCAGCGTGTAGTAAGTGTGCCGTATTGTTTCACTCTTCTCTCTCGAAATCCCTCTCACCAGCACGGCGCCATGTTTATTGAAAGTAAGCAGAGTTGTTTCAGGTTGTGACTGGCGTGGAGTGTTGTGTCGGTACTTTGCGCCCAATGGTGTCACATCAATTAACAGGAATCAGCTCTGGTGTTCCCACAGCATGCTGATCAGAGCAGAGGCCATTTTAATGTGAGTTGCTTGCAGAGGAATTTGACCCATCTTCTCAACATATAGGCTACTATGATCCCCTTAGAGTGATATTCTAACTTTCTGATCAAATTTAAAGACCTTATAAACATGAAGACTATGAAGCCAACCCTCAGGCACTATGTGATCTGACTCAGAGGGACTATAAAGTCATGCCTTTATGCAGAAAGTTGGAGATCTGCTTTTCAGCTTTCTAAAACAAAAAAGGGACATACTTACAGAATGCTTTTAATGTGGTCCAAAATACTTTGCTACAGTTGAAACTAACTAAATGTATGCTTTTTTGGAACAGGCCACTGAATGTTCCTTCAGTGGTTACTCTTGATGGACATGAAATACAGATTGTTTTAACTTATAAGTATCTTGGCATTGTCATTGGTGACAACCTATCATTTAAGCCTCATGTTCACTGTCTAGTGAGAAAGTTGAGACTAAAATTGGGTTTTTACTTTCGAAATAAGCTGTGCTTTTGTTTTAATGTAAAAAAAACGGTTGGTGGCATCCACTTTTTTAACTGTGCTGGACTATGGTGATATATTATATATGCATTCATCTGCTCAATGCCTGCAGAGGATTGACGCAGCCTATCATTTATTACTAATTTTAAAGCTCGCACCCATTACTGTGAGCTGTATTCTTGTGTAGGGTGGTCTGCTTTGGCTACACGGAGGCTTTGTCATTGGTATATATTTATATATAAGGCTATTCTTGGTGCGCTTCCATCTTATGTTCACTTCTTATGAAAAAAAGCACTGGTCATTACTCTCTCCGTTCTGAGGCTGTTGTCTTGTTTTCTGTCCCACGTGTCAGTACTGAGCTGGGTAAAAAGGCCTTTGCTTACTCTAATCCCTTTACATGGAATTTGCTGCAAAATAACTTGAAACTTAGTAAATTGGTTCCTTTGAATACTTTTAAGCTGAGAAAGAGATGTTTTGAGTTGGACTCCCTCACATGTCAATGTTTCAATTGAAATTTTATTATAAGTGCATATTTGGCTTTTATGTGTGTGTCTTTGTACGTATGTAATGATGTGATGTAATTTTGATGCCTATCTTGGCCAGGTCTCGCTTGCAAAAGAGATTTTTAATCTCAATGGGTATTACCTGGTTAAATAAAGGATAAATAAATAAAAAAACATACGTAGCTCTCTTTGACATTACAGACTGGATAAATGTTTGGCTTCTCACCAGAACTGACAGTCTCCAGGGCCTCCTGCTCAACGTCCACCTGATGGTAATGGCGGATACAGACGCGACTGTCTATCTGGTAGAGGAGGGCGGGACACAGGTAGGTGAACTCACTCTGGGAGATGACGGAGTCAGGCTGCAGGCCATAGTAGGTGAGGAGCTGAGTCAGGTTCAAGCACTGTGTGGGCAGGAAACATGTTCAAAAAGAAAGTCAATACCGGGAAAAAACGCAGACTTTAAAACAACAACTCATTGGATTACACAGCTAAACACTCAGAACTTTTTGGGGTGAAGAGAACAAACACAGGCATCCAAAATCCTTTCCACAAAACTGATAATGTGATTATGATTCATGGTGAAGTCCTACCTCCTCATGCTGGTGCGAGTGTCCTGCATGTTCTATGAGCCCCGATGAGGCAGCCAACCCTGGAGCCTCTCTCTTGTCTTTATGAGCGCCACTGTGGTCATGGTCATCAGTTGGAGGCGTTTCAGATGAAGGGAACTTGTTTGACCTGCCCTGACCTCTGACCTTTCCCGGCTTCCTGGTCCTTGCAGGATTTTCCGTCGGCGTCACACTTGGCAGTGCTGGCTCATCTCTATGCTCTTTATGACTGTGATGATCGCTGCTGTGGTTTGTGGGGTTCTGATGGGGATTAGAAGACGGGTGTTTGTGGTCAGACTGGACCTCTGTGTGCTGGTGTTGATGGTCTTCATCATGTGTGTGATTATGGTTGTGGTCATGGGTATCATGATCATCATCACCGTGTTTATGGTCATGATTTGTTGGCCCCCCAGTAGCAGTAGTGGGGCTGCAGCGTGTGGGAACCTGTTCTACGTGTGGGTGATGGTGCTTATGGCCCGAATGATCGTGACTGTGGACTTTACTGGAGGATGTATGTGAGTGAAGCCCATTTTGCACATCCAGCAGGTCGAGGTGGGCCACGTGGTCATGACCGATATCCTCATGATCCATGGCAACCAATTTAACTGATCCTAAACCCAGGCTATGGAGGAGACTCTCAAAACCCTGGAAGTCCAAGCGATCCTTCTGCCCGTAGAGCCTAAACAGCTGTTGGATGTAGTAACGCTGTTCTTCCTCTAGAGGTGGCCCTTCAGGACTGTTTGAGTCTGGGGATACGGTGGTGGAACGAACCGGAGCCTCAGAAATCTGTAGGTCGCTGTGCTGATGTACGTCGCTAGCGTGGTCATGCCCTTCCACGTGGCAATGGTTACAGTGATGAAAGATGAAGGTGATAACGCACAGGAAGCAGAATTTGGTGTGTACATGTACTCGCATTGTGTCCTTTTTATTGGTCCCCTGTAAAAAAAAAACAAAAAAAAAACTGAGTTAAAAAACAATCCACTGGACTTTGTTTCCAAGTTTGAAGACATTTCGCTTCCCATCCAGGAAGATTTTTCAATTGAAAATGTCAGTAAATACAGTAGCCAAACAAAGCCTTGTTTTTGTTTCGAGAAAATGCAAATTGAAACAGGCGAACGGGTGCATAACTTTGGAATGGGGGACACAGAGTGACTTTTATACGACAGTCGGGCAAAACAAGAGAAACCTCTGGTGATCACGGTTCTGATTAAAATTCAGACAAACAGCAAAGGGTTTGAAATAAACTAATTAATTGAAATTAAGCTGAGTGCTGATTTAGACCAGCTAATGTATGCTGATGAAGGTTCTCAGTCATCCAGGTCATAGTCATTCCGTAAAATTCAAAAAATATCCACTGGACTTGGTTTTCAAGATTTGAAGACGTTTCGCCACCTCTCCAGGAATTGAATTCATTTGAATTGAGAAAGCTTCCTGGAGAGGTGGCGAAACGTCTTCAAATCTTGAAAACCAAGTCCAGTGGATATTTTTTGAATTTTACGGAATAACCAGCTAATGTACAGAAACACTAATGAGCTCAGAAGTATAAACATTTACTCACTAAAAAAAAACGGCTTGATGCAATGCTAACAGAGTCACAAATATGCATGGATACGTTCGCACAGTTACAGACACACCAACACTTATGCACCAACTTCCTGTAAAAATGATGTACAGAGGGGGTGTGCTTCAGTGATGCAGTGGTTAGTGCGCATGACACGTGTAGAGAGGCATTATTCCTTGACGCGGCTGACCCAGGTTCAAATCCGGGTCTTGTACCCCCCTTTCCTGTCAGCCTACTTTGCAAGAACGAGCCACTAAACTGCAAAAACAAACTAGACATAAGTAACAATTCCTGATATTAAGTGTATTTACCCTTAATATGAGCAGGTAAATAAGATGATTTGCCAATGGAATGACAACTTTTACCCTTAAAATATGATAATTAGATAATATGCCCTTGAAATAAGGCACTGCAATAGTTTGTTCTTATTTTAAATGTAAATAGTCTTGTTCCATTGGCAAAGTGTCTCACTTACCTCCTCAATTCAAGAAAAAAATGCAATTATTAAAAAAAAAATCCTAATTAGATTTCAATTTTTTGCAGTGTAGTGCCGCAAAAACCTAAAAAAAAAAAAAAAAAGATCCGAAGATCCGACAGCATGTCTTAGCAACATTCCCCATCTTTCGATTATAGCTTTACACCTGTTTAACTATATTTTCTTTAATACAGTAAAATAACGGGTTCCTATTTAGTTACAGCATATAAGTTTAACAATGTGTAAGGAACCATGTTGTTCTTTATTCATTCGGTATTTGATACATCTGGCACAATACCGATGTTATCTTTTTTTTGTTTCAGCACTTTGTAAAACGTGAAAAAATTGAGCTCTTCAAGTTCTTGAAAGTAAGAGAAAAGTAGGAATTTTAAGAAAATGACAGATTATCAATGAATTACTAGTCAGTCAATAGGCTCAATGAACTAATACTTAGTTTATCGATAACCTGCATTTCCAGTGCATTCTAATACTGATTCACTCAAAACCAAACCAGCAATGACTCACTGAGCTCTAGACTCAACCACTGAAACCCTGAGTCATCAAACCAGTTATTCATTTATTCCATTCAGTTTATTTCTATAGCATCAATTCACAACACGTCATCTGAAGGCGCTTTCCAGTTCACCACATCATCCAGTCAAATTGATTCAAAGTTTTCTATCTAAGGAAAACCTGTTGATTGCATTGACTCATTGACTCAAAGGCAATCCCTCACACCAAGCACGCTTGTAGCGACAGTGGAGAGGAAAAAGAGCAAGAAGCCTCCAGCAGAACCAGACTCATTGTGAGCGACCATCTGCCGAGGCCGACTGGGGCTCAAGGAGATAGAAGCAGACAAACAGTAAGAAGCAGAGATACAAAAGGCAACTGTTAACCCGCTCCACGGGGGGGCCCGTCCAGGAAACGCACAGCCAGGTAGACAAGCTCCGAGCCAGCTCTCATGTCAGAGAATGAAGAGAACACCTCCAGTTAGTCACAGTCAAAGAAACAGGACTACACTGGAAAAACAGGTTGATCTCGTTCATCTATACCCAAAGGTGATGATGGCAGCAGCACATTCACGAACACACTGACAAAGTTATGCTCAGATTCACCGAGTTTATTAGTGTAAGAAATCATTCAGATTTAAATAATTTCAGATTTTAAACAAAAATTTGATTAATCAGTTGTTTTGATTTCTAGAATTTTGAATGAATGAACAGTGGGCTTCCATGGACCAGAATGACATCCCTTCATCACTTTTTGTCCATAACTGATACATTAGCTCACTGTGTAATACCCATAGCTGGAACCGTTTAGCTTGTTATTTTAAAATGATCTTCGTCACACTTCTGTTTAAAGTCACTTCCTGGAGAAGATGGGTAAATAAAAGCCAGGTTTTGAAAGTCATGCAAATTATGTTGTCTTATTTTTCTTATCAAAGTTAAGTGAGAAGAAAATGAATTAATAGATTTAATTAATTTAGGTCGGATCTTTTTTTTTTTAAGCCATATTACCCAGCCCTAACTGACATACTGTTGCAGCTTTGCACCGTTACACATGAGCCTTGATACACTGCAGGATTAAGAGTGTCCATATTACATTTCAGGGAAGCAGCAAGAATTAGGAAGACAAGCATGTAAGCAAATGGGACTTTCACACTGCAGTACCTTCATGTTAAAATAACAGGTGTAATGACCGAGGAGAGAAGCGTTCTGCAGCCAAACAAACTTTCCCAGAGAGCTTTCAGAAACAAACAACTTGTTCCTTCCCACTTTAAAAAGCCTGAAGCTTCGATATGATTCCAGTCAAATGATCCTCATGAGGTCTCTGCCGAGGCCCGTGGGTGGCTCCGGCGTGAAGAGAGGGGGTGGAGGGAAATAAAGGGAGGTCAGCTGAAGAAGATGTGAGGCGGCCTCAGACTAGACAAACCCACACACTTTTAGCTGCCAGCTTGTTAGCCAGGTTCATGGTGGAGCGTTCAGAACTTGTGGGAATGCGACTGTTGTGTGTGGAGCTCAGATCCAGTTAAAAAAAGGGAGAGGAAGACATTTTCTCTTAGGCGCCCTTCAGGTCACACCAACTAGAATCATCAATATTTAACAGTATTGATTTCTGTCTCTACACAAACACTGTAAAAATGCAGCAAAACAAGAAGTCTCAGAAAGTCACAGGAACAAATCAGGGATTTTATACGAACAGCATCTGGAGCTCGATCCAACCTGTAGAAACCAGCACCAGGCCATAACTCCACCAGGGAAAGGTAAAGACGACGTGGTTCATTGCCTTCCTGGTGCTGTGGAGCCCTGGAGATGATTGTTTATTTTCATGTTGTTGTTTACTTTGGAGTTACCAAACCTCTGAAGGTTTCTGACTGCCAAGAAGCAGCAGTTGCTACATTTGAACACAAATCTTTGTAATTTCTACTCCTTACTTTCTATAAAACTGGCTTGTTTTCTGTAAATACTGATAACTACATGATGTAACAGCTCCCCCAAAAAAGGGGGAAAAAATCGAGAGCATTAAAAGAATCTATCCAGTTGGAGATTGTTTACAGAAAATCCCCGTTAAGGACATGGCTATCAAGACAATCCCCATACATTCCCCTTTATTAGATGTTAATTATGGTTCAAGTTAGGGGTGTGTCATGACGATATTAGATCATGAAGGATAAGAACGTGTAGACGATCGTGGGATTTTCTCGGTCACATTCTATAAATTGCAGTTCTATGCTGACTGACCAACGCACCAAACAAACTGTGTAGTCAACCTGACCCACCAATCATAATGAGTAACCGGCAGTGACGCACTTTCTAACCATCCTTCTTGGTTATGTGTGTGGCGGTAGCCATGGCTGCTATTTTACTTTTTATATTTTATATCCATATTTTTATCTTAAGTGTATATATTAGTCTATTTTATTGCATGCCTTATACCCACAATGTTTTAGATATTTTTATAATTTTATTTACCTATTCCATATTATATATTTCATGTTGCAGGATTGTGCCATAAAAAATTCCTAGTTTGTGAACTCCTTCACTAACAATGGCAATAAATCTAATTCTGATTCTGAGAGTCAAACGGAGGAGTAGATCACAAAAAAAAAAATAACTAGGGCTGCAACTAACGATTATTTTAGAAATCGATGAATCGGCCGATTATTTTTTCGATTTATCGATGAATCGGACAAAAAAATTTTTTTATATTAACCTCTTTATTCCAAAATAAACATTTTAGGCAGAACAAACAAGCACACAAGTACAGCTTGCTCATTAACTGTACTGGTGCAATATGAAAAATAAATGTTTGTGTTAAAACTACGCAAACTTACATGAGAAATGTAGCTGTACATCCACAAAATATAGGCTACTTTGTTTCATAAAGTGCAGAAAAATACTTTTTTTTTTTTAAAAGCCCCTAAGGGGTTCAAACAATAGGTCCCCCCCATTTCAACAAATGAGGTTTTTTTAGACTAATACAGTTATGCCTTTTAAGACAGGAAAGTATAGCAGTTAAAGTTGCTGCTTGAGAAAATACTGAACCATAGAGATAAAAATAGCCCTGTGATTCAAATTATAAATTGTATTTGGAATAAAAATGAGAGAACTAGGGGTGCTAAACACATCCTCCAAAGACAGATATTTACATGGGAATGTAGCATATAATTAATTGACATATTACTGATCTTGCTGGATTTTATTCTGCTTTACTTCCATAAATTGTAGAATCTTTACTTATTTTTGCCAGAAGATTTAAACTTTAAAAGCCTTGCCCTCATAATTTGCAAGTTAATTTATTTATAAAGTAAATATAAACGCTGCTTAAGCTAATTCAAATGAAATTAAAAGTAAAATAAGTAGCCAACCTTATCACTGTCTGTAACCTACTAACACGGTA